TTAGCTGCAGGTCCAAGTGTTCTACCATTTCTTCTCCCACAGTGGCTAATGGGATACATTTGGGAAGCTCAGAAATCTGAGCTGAAAGGAAAGATCTCTATTTTCTCTGCAGTATTTCAGTTATGATTAAAGAAGCAGTAAACAGCCATCAATATTAGCAGCAATTGAGTGCCGGGTCATCTAGGAATCTGTCCAGATTCCTTTTAAAGCCATCCAGATTGGCTGACACAACCAAAGTTCTAATAAGGAATCACCTGTGGTGTGAAAATATTCTGCGTGGCTGGTCCTCCCAAGTCTCTGTTTATTTTTCATGGATGACCTGCTAACTGCTTGATATACGTTGAGGATGGGGTGGAATTGGCATCTACATTATACCACACACAGTTTATATACTTCTAGAACATTTTTATTTTATTTTCCTATAAAATTTATTTTACCTATTTTCTTCTTGTGTAAGTAAAAAATGTCTTTTTAAAAAGATGCAACCAGAATTACACACAACAGGATGGTCTCAGCATGCATTTGTAGAACACTACCGTGTTTTCCCGAAAGTTATGATCTTCAGATCGCTTATGTTGCTCATGGCAGGAGGTCACGTGATGCTTTGGGCCATTTCCGCTGCTCATGTGCTTCGGACTACTTCTGTTGCTTGCGATAGGGGGACACATGGTGCTTTGGGCCGTTTCCACTGCTCGTGCACTTCGGGTCACTGCTCGTTTGCTTCGGGCCACTTCTGTTGCTCATGGCAGGAGGCCGCTGCAGAAACAGTCCAAAGAGCCATGTAGCATCCTGCTGTGAGCAGCAGAAATGGCACAAAGCACCATGCGGCGGTCTGCTGGAAGGAGCAGAAACTCCACAAAGCACCATGTGGCCTTCTGCCATGAGTAGCAGTAATGGCTCAATGTGCCTCATGGCATCCAGCGCAAATGGCATCAAGCAGCCTCAGAAACCAAGCAGCGGCGTGAAAGGTGTCAGGGTGTGGGAGGCCTGTCTGTAGTGGTCCTAAGGTAAGACATTCTCTGAAATTAAGAGACTGGGTCTTAATTTTGGAAAAATACGATATTATTTTTCCATTCTATTTTCAATTTCATTCTAACTGCAAATGTATATTTTTTTTGTCTTTTATACTAGCTGCATTCTGGATTGACATTTTCATCTGGCTGTCTACAGTATAGATTTTAAGTCATCCATCAGATCCCATTAATGTATAGGTATAATGAGAGGCAGTCCAGACAAGAAGCATGCCCATAAATACTATCTCTACTTTATTGTAAGGTTACATTAGCATAATCTTGCAGGTCTGGTAATACATCACTCCCCCTTCCTCTTTAAAGTCCAAGAAAATAGGGAGTGTCCCTTCTAGTTGTGGAATTCTGGGAGTCGAAGTCCACAAATCTTAAGATTGCCGAGATTGAGAAACACTGACTGATTTACTCTATGTTTGTTGAGGGCTATTTTTGAAAAAATCTAAGCATAAAATCTCTGTTGGGTTACTCTTGTTTATATGGTTGACACTCAAAGGAAAGTCTAAAAGGTTAGAGAGGCAAGGTATTTTCATTAAGCTTTTCGTTGTTAGGAAATGTGTTTTTTTAAAAAATCAAATTAAACTTTTGAAAGGGTGCAGAAATACCCCACCAAAGCCCCATGAGGCTCTCCGCAATTTACAGAAATAAGCCACTATTAAAATCTTTTTTATTAACTTAGAAAAATAAAATAATCAAAATTGGAGCATGATGCCTCAAACACCTTCCGGAAGAGCCATTTTTCAGTTGTTTCTGGAAAGAAGTTAAAGCAGGAGTTCACCTTCTGTTGAAAAATATAGTATTGTGATCAGTCAGTTTGATTTTGAAATAAAATGTAGGCACTATTAGGTTTAAGTTCAATGGTCTCTGATTAGCTGTTCCAGGACTCTAATAATTTAGGACAGAGGTCCCCAACCTTTTGGGCACCAGGGACCAGTTATGTGGAGAGAGGTTTTCCCATGGACCGGAGGGGGCGTGGTTTTTTGTGCTGCCTGTATCCTGTGGATGGGGTTTTCCTTGTTTGTGCGGACCAGTTTCTGGCATGCTGCAGCCTGGTAGTGGTCCACAGACCATGAGTTGGGGACTCCTGATTTAGGATATCTAGAAATCTTATCCTTATTGCCATGTTTTCCCCTGAGCCTGACTAAAATTGTCCATTCCTATTAGAATATTTATTTTCCATATGCTTCTCTAAGTTAGTGTTCCATTTGTAAGTCAGCTTTAATTTCTTGGTTGGGATTGGGAGAGCATAATATGACCACAAAAGTAATTTGGAGAAATTAACATGGCTACCCCTAGAGATTCAGTGGAATAGTTTGCTCCATTTATGAAGCTAAAACAGGGCAAATCTATGAAGCATTCCCATCCTGTTATTTCATTTCAAAAGAACATGCATTCCCAAATAAATCCTTGTGCATATCACCCTTTGACTTTCTGGGCCTTATAGCTTCACCCTTGGAATCTTGTTTCTTGACTGGCTCCTCATTTGTTAGATTATGTTCAAGTAGAGCCTGTTCTTTGAACAGGGCTGGCTGTTTCAAAACATGATCCCATACTAATACTCTAACCCCCTTCTCTTAGCACTATTGTCTCAATCCACAGATTAATACTACTCAGTTCCAGTGCTTTTTTTCTAAAAAAAAATGTGCCGGAACTCACACATGTCATACAACCCGCCTTGCCTACCCTATAAGGTTCCATCCAAAAAAGGTGCCGGAACTCCGTTCTGGGCGTTCTATGAGAAAAAAAGCCCTGCTCAGTTCTATCTAATTGGTATGCTACTGGCATTTCTTTGAGAAAGCTACCTGGTGTTACATCCTCCTACAATGGGATTTAATCCTCCTTGACTGCTAAGGTATTACGATTGGAGTAGATGCAATTGTTTCATCCTTGGAGGCCTCTTTTCTAACCTCTTTTCTCAGCTTCTCCAATTCAGCCTTGAATGAACTTGCTTCTTGAAAACCATGAACTCAATGAATGAATCATAGATCCACGACTTCTATCTTTCAGGGAGATAAATATACATAGAATATTTGGTGCAATAGACTGAATAACCCCTAAAACTCTCCAACTGTATATCTAGTTTACTAGTTTTTATTTAGATATTGGAATTTTGTAAAGTAGTGGGAGAGAAAAATTCAGATGTCCTGGCTTTTTTTTGCCCTGCTGACAAACTTGCAAGGGTGCTTAAATTACATGTCTATTTCACTGCAATTTATAAAGAGGTCTTGAAGAAATTTCAAACACCAAAGAAATCATTGTTTCTGCTTCACTGATTTTAAGTATACATTTGGCCAGTTCTTAGAAATGATTAAAAAAAAAATCATGACTGGATTTTTGGTCCCATGGATCAATAGTAGGATAGAAACGATAAAAATCAGTGGTCCATCTTTTCCAATAAAATAAATAAATATTTTGAAGAATACAAAGTGGTTGGTGATTCTTGGCTTCTTTGCCCCACCTCATACCCCATGGAAAAAGCTTTGTACACTCAAAGGGGTGTGGGAATCTTCATGAGACTACTGTTTCTTTGTAGTCTTTCTTGAAAAGTGACTTGACAATGAAGCCTCTTGTGGTCCATTTAGAAGTGTAAGGAGCATTTAGGAGGTTTTTTGCTCTTTCAAAATAAAAACACAGAGATGAATCCAAACATTTTCAGAACCAGAATTTTGTGGAGCTCTTGATGCTCTCTGATGTGACCTGATATTACTTAGTGGGGGGGGGGATTCCCAGCTAGGCAGGAAGGAGGGTCCAAGCAGGGAACCAACCTTGAATCCTTGCACAACCAAAGAGGTAGAAGTCTAAGCCCTGCTAAGTTCCATAAAATATTATCTGGTTGTTATCTGGGAAGGCAAGTAATCTGGGAAGATTCTTGTAATATAGATAGAATACAATAAAGTTGCTGCCTGGATCTTTCATAAGTGGATCTGGTTGCTTGTGCCTGTGATTGGGTAATGAAATATCTGCAAGCAAACCACCAAGCTTGGATAGCACCAAGAACTCCACATTTCAACCCTGAGCTACAGATATTTTCTAATGAAACAAATTTTTACTGAATATTTAATTAAATATCCAGGCCTAAAACTGGCAGAACATGGTGAAAATCATCTCAATGTAGCATCATTTAGTAAATTGGTTACACATTGAAGACTATTACCCTTATTCTGCACCAAGTACTTTAAATTCTTAAATGTACTTTTTGTTCAATCCCATATAATTTTAAGAGTCCTTCAAATTTTGTGCCTTTAGAAGAGAGACTATGCAATTTCTGAACTTCTGCAACTGTCACAAATGTAAAAGCAATCATGAAGCTCAAATCTTGCTTAGGCATGCAATTGTAGTCTTCGTATGCCCTTGCTTTGGAAGTAGCTCCATGCATAAAAATTAGCCTACATTTTCCCATCAATTTTTATTCAGTTAAAAAGAAAATGAAGTTTATTTAAGAAAGAGAAATAAATAAACAGATTAAATAAGGGACTTTATGTCTGAGGTGGCCAAGACTTGAGAGTGAATATTGCATTGCACTAGCATATCTGGCTCCCCACACTCCCATCTATGTTTTTTTTTTTTTGAAGAGAAGTCCTGGATACCAGGATTGCTTCACTTTCACGAAGGCTTAAGCAGCACATCTCCCACAAGTGCCTTACAAAACAACCATCGCCACCCTAAGAGTTAAGTAGATGCTACCTTGGTTCTGTCTTTGTGTAAGGTGATGCCTTATGTCAGGAAGCATTTCTGAAGATGGCCATCACCAGAGGTGATCATAATGGCTTTGTAGTCATGGCAAGCAAAAATTTTACTTTGTTTGGATTAGAGCTAGTTTTCAATTACTTGGAGAAGAAACAGGCTACAACTAGAAAGCAATTAGTGCCCCAACAAGGTTACTAAAAGCCTGCTATCCCACATTATGCTTTTATTGAGTAAGAACTGCAAGATTACAGAGGCAGAAACAAAAACGAAAAGAAAAAAAATCCACACTTTTAAAGGGTAAGAAAATACATTTATTAAACTTCATGACACTATTTCTGGCCAATATTCTTAATACATGCATATTATAGGGATAAGCACGGTCTGGCTATATGGTAGCATATTAGCTTCATACTCATTCCACATTTAGTGCATTAGTGCTACATTATTTGTATAGTTTAATGTTCCCTCCTCTTTTCCTCCTTGTTTATCCTTAAAGTTATCACTCACTTGATGGGTCTGCTTGGATAGCTTCATTAGCAATCATATAGCTGTTGTTTTGCTCATAATGATGTCTACACAACACTGGCCTCAGTCCATTGATATGTTGCACAAATCTACTCAGAGAGTTTAACACAGCAAACACAGGAAATGGGAAAGTCCTATCAACCCCCTTTGGTTTTAAGATGCATTGCTTTAATACAGAGTTGGATGCAACTCATATTCACGTATTTAAGCTTGTCTTAAAGACTTAACAGGAATTTTCCTAAACTGCAAAGTGATGTCTTTCGGTACAACAATAAACCATTAATCTGTGAGTGAACAAGGTGAAATGGAAAAGAATTTCAGAAATGCAGTTTTGCCAGTTAAATACGTACAGTAGAATAAGAAGAGTAGAATGGTTTACATACATTTTAAGGTTTGCTTATGATACCCGAGCTGTCTGGCATCAGAGGGCCAGAATCAGTAGCCCATTTTCTATAGTCTAGAAGCGAAAAGAAATAAAACTGCTGGACGAGGAAAATACAAAAAAGTTAAGCAACATTGAGTCTTCCAGTTGATTCAATATTACAATGGTTATTTAATATTTCAATAAGCACTGAGATTACCTTCACATTTATTATGTATTATATGTTTAATATGCTGCAGGATTTTGAATAAAAACATTCAGAATTTATTGAGCTATAAAACAATTATATATTATACAAGCATTGTTTTATTTACAATTAACTTCTGAAGAATGTTCCCTAACCCCACCCCACATTTTAGCACTCACCCAATATAGTTCCCCCTCTACATGTTCTTCCTGTCTCTGTTTTATCTCACTGCGGGAGATTTCACATTCACAATGAAGGCCCTCAATGAAGACCATATGACTTCATGGAAAAGTGGCAAGAAATGATAAAATCTACGAATGCTACCATAGAATAAACAATCCATTCACCCAGACACCAAAACTGGTACTAGGTGGTAGTTTGCAAACATTCAACCATCCATTCCACAATGACAGATCTGCTGACCAACAAAGTCCTGATCTGGAAGAGAAGCGTGTACCATTTTGTAGCAGCTCACTCAGTTCATAGAAAGCACAGAACTGTTCAACATCACCCCTGTGAACAGGGAGTTCACTCTAACTGATCACATGATGCTTCTTTGCACGTGCACAACACATGCTGTTCATTTAACTGAGATTTCATGAATCTAAAGCTGCTGTTGTATATACTCCAGGAAACTTTTTTTTAAACCTCTACATCTGAACATGCCAATGATTTGGAGTCCAGTTAACTTGAAGCCTCAGTTCAAATACAGCGAATAGAAACACAAAAGATTCCATGGGGAATAGTTTATTGAACTCCATGGGCACAGCCAGAATCATCAAGTGTTCATGATCATGAAGGGCTTGAAGCAAAATATCAACATCCTTCAAGCCTTACTGAGATTAATGGACATTGTATAGAAGAATACTTTTGAGAAAGACCAAAACTTTCAAAAAGCCACTTTCTAATAGAAGTCAGGTGCCTCTTTTTCTGTTTATCTTTCTTTTGCAAGAAAAATCTGTGAGCAAACAGCTTGCAAACGTATTTGGATATGGCTGTATGGCAGTTTCCACATCTTTAATTCAGCACTTGGGTGGTCATCTTAACTTACGCAAATCATCAGAGAGAAAGACAGGCAATTCTTTTCCTCCAGATATGCCATCCCAGTTAGAGAATACCTATAGGTTTGCTGTGTAAACTGACACATAATGCTGTGCCATTTGCTCCATCTTTACTGGCCCATCTAACTGATTGTCAGGGCCAGGAGTGGAATGAACTAGCCTTGAAAGTTAATATCAAGCATCCTCTTTGAAAACTTTTGATGATGCATGCTACAACATAATAATGGGCACTCAAATCCAAGATATAATGCACATTGGTGTAGTAGTCCCTGCTAATTAGTAAGGGCAGCCCAATGGTTTAATGTGCAATATATTTATTTAAAGGCTAACTCTACCAGTCTATTCTACCTCCAAAGCATGGAACCAATGTACAGCAGAACACTCCCCAGTAAATCTGTGTCTTCACATGAATAAGAAAATCCTCTTTTGCAAAGTTTAGTGTAGCTTACTCTTTCTGATAAATCACTTTTATGAGGTATATCAAAGGATAACTAAAAATGTATACCCATTCTTCCAAACTGCAAATCCAAATTTTAAAAAAAGAGACAGAAGTCCAACTAAAACAAAATTCACAGTCCTTTCCCTCATATGTCAACACATAACAACAAACATATAATGAATTAAATGTAATTATGCCCTTCAAAAAATAAATCCTTTTAAAAACAACAAAATAACTCCCCTCCCACCCAGATGAAATACACGGCTCAATGCTGAAAGGTTCTCTAGAACCAACTGAGCAGCATCCCCATTTAAAAAAAATAAACTTACTGAAAAAAATAATAATGTTGAAATATATCTCCCTTCCCAAACTCTGACATTTTAGATATAAGGATCTCAAAATCTCTCTGAAAACATAAGAATTTCAATTATGTCCTTTATGAGGTATAATATGGATAGTGTTCTTTATACAGATTTTTGTTTGATTTTCCAACACACTTCTCAGAAACAAGAGAACGAACTGGGCTTATGGCTAAATAAAGGAAAACACCATGCAAATTAAGGCAATGTGTGTAGTGCAGAGTCTGGCACCTGAAATTCAGGGTATTTTTACAAAATTATAAACTGGAGGGATATAAATAAATGGAAGTTCCCTTTACTTTCCCCTTCTCTTTTCTAAGATATCAAGCTTTAAATACCATATAGAGCAATCCTTTTCAGCCAAATAGATTTCAACACCCAACATTCTTAATAAGTAACATGTTAACCAGGGAATTCTGAGTGTTGAAGAAAGGTGCCCAGGTTGGGAAAGGTATTTATGGAAAACATTTACAAATCTGGGAACTTTTGCACATTTCAGATATGTTGGGATGGATCACTCTCTTGAAAAGGGGCAATTTCTCACAGAGATGCTTTCTTTCCAAGACACCAGCTTTACACTAAAGACATACACATATTAATCTCTTACTGCCCGGATACATACATTCATTTCACCACACATTTTATTAAAAAACTGTATTGAAAATAAGCAGCACTTAGCAGGATCTAATTCCGTCAAACCCTGGAAAGCTGCAAAAATAGTTTAATAAAAAGAAGGCCACTGTGTTAATTGTAAAAGCAACATTCCATCTTTGGACTGGAAAATTTGTTGTTACTATCAATGCAGATACCGCAACTGCTATCTCTGACAACGGAGATTTCAAAAGACTTACAAAAATGTAATAGTTGAGGGCAAATACTATTAACATCTTTTTAAAGATGATGAATATGGAAACCGAATAGGAGTATCAAAGCATTAAATAAAAGCGCCATACATTAAAGGCACACTCTAAACTTGACCATTTTCTGAAAATGCAAGATTAAATCAAACTTCCATCCATTTTTAATCATTTAACTTAAAATGACTTAAAAAGACTATCCAAATATGGTAAACCTGAATATAGATAAGGTGAAGATAACTTGGAAAAAATGGGTTGTCTCCACAGGAAATGTTAAATTGCTAATTACAAAAGCTAAATTGGTTAATCACCTCAAAGAAGTAGAGTGTATATATATCAGTTTAATGAGTTGTGTGAAACTGCAGTTTTACATGTGTGAGAAATACACTCTTAAGTGCAAAGATTTGTTTTAAAACTAGTCCACCTGATAGTATCCAAAAGAACTAAATTGTTTGGTAGTGTTTTATAGAGGAATTTCAATATCTGCTCATGAAAGCACAATTTGCTCCCTAGTTTCTCCCTGTAAAAGTTTCCAGGGAAATTCAGAGTTGGAGGCAACTGAGTATTGTAGTTGGCCATTCCCCAAAGCAAATGGTTTTCCCCAGAGATGATGATAAGCTGCTGAAGGCTGATTCCAAAATGGTATTTATGCAGCCTATGATTTTGGAAGACTGTTGCAACATAAGAGTGTGGATGACATGGGAAAAACATTCTGCTCTCTCTACAGTTTCTGGCATGGTATATCTTTCTTCACTGCCCTCTTTCCCAATAATTTCCCTTTCCTTACACCCCTCTCAGATATCACTAAAGTCCCAGTATGACACATGCTAATCCCTATCTTTCCAGGGCCTTTTCTCCCTTCTCTCAGTCACTGCTGCCACCAGTGGGCATATCCCACTGATGTATCTAGCACCATCCTTTTCTTTCTCCCATGACATGCTGATGTTGTGGCTCTTTCCTTGTGTCCCCGAACTGTTTTTGCTCAAAACAAAAAACTTTTCCTTTAATCCATGCTCCAAAATGCACATAGTTCAGTTGGGGTCACAAATCACATAAAATGAACTGTCCTACCTATAGAGTGTATGGAACATTTTGCACATCTCTGTGGCCCAGTCTCATTCGTCAATATTTTCTGAAAGAGACATAGAAGGGGCATTGGGGTCCTCTGTATTCCTAAAACCAAGTATTCAGTAGGACATCTAGATCCACAGAATCCACATGAGCGCTAGAAAGTGGGATGTCAGGAAGGCAGTTTGTAATCTATCCGGTTTAAGGTGAGGACATAGCACACACTGTATTTATTTAAGTATGGAAAAATAAAATTTATTAAAAAAATATTCTAGAAGTCCAACATTTATCTATACCTGACTAAGCTTTAAAATCAGTGTTACACTTGTGTTGTATCCTGAGTCAAAATTATTGTATATACATGCATACAGCAGGCTCATAAACATAACACTGCAAGCTTTGATTGGCAAGCAATCTAAATTGGCTCTACTGGAATTAAAAGGGAACAAACTGCCTTACACCACAGTTCTCCAAAGCAGCTGGAAATCTAATGCCACAAAACCATCAGCAGCACTTGTGTAGTGTTGGATGCTGTAGTGTTTCCCTGTGATCTTGTAATGTTTTGGTGACTGGGACTTTCAGTGTCTGGCTGGAACTTGTAGTGTATGGGTCCTGTAGTGTTTCACTCCTGTAACTTCCATCTGCGGTATGTTTAGCAATAAGATCCTGTAACAAAGATTGACCTAAATATACTTTCTTAAAATTTAAACATATTCTTGATTAGACAAGGTCCCAAATCCTGAACACACCTGCATATATATGTATCCCTTTGAGGCTTAATAGACATTTTGATACCTGCGGAAATAATGTTTGCTTCTATTTGCTTATGTTTCCCCTGGCATACTCAGAGTAGGAAGTCATAAATATAGTCACAAATAAAAAAACATTGAACCTGACTGACAGCATTCGGCCAGGGCAGAGTAAAAGGAAGACTGTTGAAAGGCAATTGCAGACTGGTTGCTGTTCTTTGGTTTTAGAACTACCTTCCCTGAGACACTGTGAATTAGCATCTCTACTAGTTATAAAATGTCCACTGTAACTTTGAGCTTTACCAAAATAAAATAATAAACGCTCTGGGACAGTACTTCCAAAACTGCTAACAACCAGTTCCAAGCAAACAGCTATTTCCAGGGCAACCGTGCCTTACTCATTTGATTTGGTGTGAAATAAGTTAGCAAAAGACCATCCTGAGTTAATAGCTTTGGGAGAATCATCATCCTCATCTTTAGGAGGAATCAAAAACTGCCGAGAATTAATTGAACAAGGGCTCCCAAATGAGACATTTTCTGTGAATTCTGGAGAATCTGGACAGTCTGTATTCCAGGAGGATGCATTTACTTGTGGTCTATAGCCTGCACCCTTGTCTGAGTTCTCTTCTGTTGTTGATGTTTCCTCCAATTGTCTGAAATTATTAACTGCGAGTTGCATTTGTGGTTTATAACCTGCTGAAATCACACAGTCAGTTTCTAATTCTTCATTTGGTTTAACTGGAGCTGGATACATTGACTCGACATCAATATAAACAACCTGGGAAGATGCTGCAGATTCATCCTCTGGTGGATTAGATATGACTTCTTCAATGATTGGTGGACAATAGGAAACCACAACGTGGCTCCCTGATTCAGATTCCAAGCCATCTTCAGGAGGATCTTCCATAACAGGTGATGTAATGGCTGTGTCTTCAATCTTCAGACCCTGGGATTGGGATTGAATTACTTCAATATTGTTGGGAGTACATGGGTTCATCTCCAAGGTTTTAGAATTACAGTTCCCCTACAATCAGAAAATAAAATAAGCTTGGTATACTCAGCACTTGCAAATGTAAATAAACTGCATTATTTTGGAGTGTAAAGAAAATTACATGTCTTTTCTTTTTATTGCTGATTTGACTTTCTTTTTTCTTTTTTAAAAATGAACTGTTTATTCTTACATGAATATTTTATTTTAGCTTCAGGTGCTGGACAGTGATTCTAAAAAATATTCCAGATTTTTATGCAATGCTAAATATTGCAAATTTCACATCATCTTCCATCAAGCCTGGGATTTTATTTTGCTGCAAGCCAGCTAACTGATTAATAGTAGAAGGTTGATTTACACAACAATAGCCAAAGCAATGACATGCTATTTAATTAAGAATGCTGCTCAAACCTTCACAAACTTGGGCATTTATAAAAAATTTGCAAATAAGATCTAACTTAAATGATAAAAATGTAAACTATTTATCAATATATTCATGGACAAGCCAAGAATTTTAGGCACACAATACAATTCCAAAACTAGGTTTGTCTTATCCATGGATGGGCCTATCCAAAAGTATACATGGTAATACTCTTTTAAAATACCCTTATATATCTTAGATGACTGTTGTGAAAATTTTAAATGGAATTTGATCTGGAAAATAACATTTATTTATACAAAACAGGGGGGGGGGGAATGAAGTTCTTCAGAATATATTGAAAAAAACATGCAAAAATTTCAAGGACCTACTGATAGCACATTTTATGATATTTTAGCTAAAAATTTGAGGGCCAGTTTATATTACTACTTGATCAAAACCTATGCATTTCATTAAGCATTTAGTGGGCTGAACAAAGCAATTGATAATTAGAGGTTTTAAAAATTAACTAAACATTGTCATTCCATAGCTATCTGTTAGAAGCCACAATGATATGACATACATCAGTAATTTTCAGCCCCAGGAATTTTAAGATTTATGGTCTTCAGCTGCTGGGCAATCTTGGTAGTTGAAGTCCATACATTTTAAAATAGCTGAAGTTGAGAAACACTTGAAGTTATTATGAAAATATGCAAGCTACATTATGTCTGTCACTTTTGTCATGATTATTCCTTGCCCCCCTATGGATGCCCAAAAATCCTGAAGTTACTCCTGCTACCAACTCATTCCTTCAAGACCTGAAGACACATTTTTTAGTCCTTGCATTCATGCTAAATCTTAAGTGAAGAAACACAACATCCTTTCACTCTGAAAGTGAAACATTTTCTTTGTCTTGCCCTTCCCCAATCTCATCCCATCCATCACTATTCTTATGATATTATTTGAATGGTAAAATGGAACAGATTACCTCTGAATCTCTTGGGAAATCTAAAGCTTTGGAGTGTTCTGGGTTTGGAATGTCAGGATAGAAGACTTCTTTAATCCTTTTGAAATAAAGGAAGCAATGTTAATTCATGAATTGCCATCAAACCTCCTGAAATATTTATTTTCAGTATCAAAATGAAACACATTTCCCCTCTCCTGTTTTTTTTCTCCCCAAATCAATCACTCATTAAAAAATGTATGTGGGGCTGGGAGGAACTCCAAGTTCCCAAAGATGGGTCTTGAGCAATGGACATTTATAGAGATTTTTGAAAGATCCTTGGCGTTCCTTAAGCTTGGTTGCTTTCTTGCACACGTTTCATTACCCAAACTAGGTAATTTCATCAGTGCAGCAGTGGTAATAAAAAATCTGCAAGAAAACAACCAAGTTCAGAAAGCACCAAAGACCTCTCATTTCAATTCTGGGCTACAAACATTCTCCTTTACTGATAGTTTTGTATCTTCATATTCTTAAACCCCACAAGAAGCTTTGAATGAACTTCAGGAGTCATTTCCCCTTCCAAAAGAATACCTAGAGGGGTTTATTTTAGCATCAATCAACTTGCAATTATGAGCCTGGCTGTATCAGTATCCTCAACAAAGCTGCCACATAAATTCCAGTGGCATCTCCCAAAATCTTGCCCAGTGAAATGTAATTCTTGGAGTGCAGATTTAGCGTGTGCCTATTATCAATAAACCTTCACCTATATGGAACATAAAGTTTATATCGCATCTGGAGTGTATCTAATAGCTTAATGCAAGAACATACGCCAGAATCTGTTTCTCTTTGCAGAAGAAAAACAAAATTAAGATGGCTGAATGCCAAAGTTACCATTCCCTCTTCCTGTAGCAGAGGATCCCGGTTACAACTGCCAACACAAGAACCACAGACACCGGGATAATTATGGCAATGATCAATCCCAAAGCTGAAAAGTATAAGAGAGAAAAAGCTATTAAGAAAGCAATGTTTCAGTTAGTCAGCAATTTCCCTCAAGCCTATGGAACAATTTCCTAGAATGTCTTTCGACATTAAGTCAAATTCTCAGAAAATAACCAATGTTGCTTTAAACAGTTTAATAGAAATTGAAGTAGTTGATTGGAAATGGCAAATTTCCCTCTTGCTGTTTATGCACAAAGAAAGAGTTAAAATACTCTATTCATTACTGATATTTTTGAGGGACAATTCTATAATTTAAATTACCTAATTAAATAACAAAATAACAGAATAAGTCAAGACAACAACAGCAACAACAAAACATATGCAGGAGTATCACAAGCATCCAGAAAACATTTCCTTCCTTCATTTAAATTTCATATTCCTAACAAAAGAAATGGTAGAATCGGTGACACTAAGCAAAAAGATTATTGACAAAGCTGTGATACAATTTCAAAAATATACAAGCTAGCTTTATGCTTGATGAACCTCTTGTAAATATATTGGAAAGAGTATTTTTATTTTTTCTGTTAATTCACGTCTCACATTTTGACCTCAGTTTAATTCATTGAATTGGACCAATGAACAATACCATCTCTTTCTCTTATTTTAGCTTCCTATTTATAAGGATCTGTCTTTAACAACTATTCTTCTCTCTTTCCATAGATAACTTTAAATATATGAAAAGTGCCCCTACCCATTATTCTGGATTCTATAGTCTTCTTTCACTTCACTTCCCCCGTAACCCTAAAGATGTTTTCATACTAAGGTAAAGGTAAAGGTTTCCCTGGTCCAGTCATTTCTGACTCTAGGACCGGGGTGGCGAATCTATGGCACGCGTGCCACAGGTGGCACACAGAGTCCTCTCTGTGGGCACACGCGCCATTGCCCCAGTCCTAGGCCTTCACTAGGGTTTTATAAAACCTTTTCGCTTTAGGCCTCTGCCGCCGTGTGCAAAAAAAAGGTTCACTAAATCAATCAATTTCAATTTCTCACAGAAAAAAAAAGATCTCGCAAAGTTGGAATTGATTGATTGAACTTTTTAGTCCCACCCAGTCTGCCATTACCACCAAAGCCATGCCTACCCAATGGACCAGGCCCACCCAATGGACCAGGCCCACCTGGCACCCAACAGTGGCTTTTGGGTTGCAGTTTGGGCACTCAATCTCTAAAAGGTTCGCCATCACTGTTCTAAGGGGTGATGCTCATCTCCATTTCCTAGCCAAGGGAGCCAGAGTTATCCGAAGACACTTTCATGGTCATGTGGCCAGCATGAATATATGCCAAGGCACATGGAGCAGTGTTATCTTCCCACCGAAGTGGTACCTATTTTTCTAGTTGCATTTGCAAGCTTTTGAACTGCTAGGTTGGCAGTAATTGGGCAAGAACAGGAGCTCACCCTGTCATGTATTGCTTGGGTCTCAAACTGCCAATCTTCTAATCAACAAACCCAGCTTCTTAACTGCTAGGCCACTGCATCCTCTCTGTTTTTATACTACTGAGCCACATTCCATGGTTCCCCTTTCCCCTTTTTATTTATTTATAGATTTAGATCCTGCCTCTAATTGTGGTGCTTACACTTTTGCATTTAATCCTCACAACTACCATTCTGAGATTGATGGGCTGAAAGGAAATGAACCATCCCAAGTCATCTAGTGAACTTCCATAGCTGAAGCTAAACTTGAACCTGGACCTTCCCAACCTTAGTTCAATCCCTGAACCACTATACCCCATAGGCCACTATACCATATAGGCCACTCCAGCCAGCATTTCCTCCATTTGCAGCAATTAATGTAGCCAGCCAGCATCCCCACCTCCACTTTTTCACATAAAAAAGGATAAAAAAGAAAATGGCTACTAGGTGACTCCATAGCAACTCCCCTATCTCTACACTGAGGAGAGCCAGAAAGCAATAAGTGGTAAGGCACCAGGCTATTTTTGTTGTTGTTGAAGACAGCAGAACAAATTATAGGAAACAGGAGGTGGAATAAAGTGTGTACTCCTCCTGGTGAGGAACCAGCCAATCCAATAACAGAAGAGAAAATCTAAGAGAACTGCCACTTTCTGATACTAATGGCTCCTTTCTGAAGACCTCCAGAAACCAGGCGTAAAAACCAACCTTACAAGCTTTGTAACAACTTAGTTATACATTACAAGAGCCCTGGAATTTTAACAAATATCATAAGTAACTGTGATGAACAATATTAATGACATGATTCCCTTTGACAAACATTGAACCTCAGTCTGATGCTTACTAAGGACTACACACCATTAACCCATTTGTTCTAACAACTCATGACAATGCCTAAGTGCAGAACAAACATCCAATTGTCTCATTATTTACCGTTTTCCTTTGTAACCACATACAAGGCTTTACGAGGTCCATATCCTGCAGCTGTATAGGCTCTTAAAGTCAGATGGTAACCGGTTTTCCCTTGAAGGCCTGATACTGTCATTGAATCTTTATTTAGATCAGTAATGTTCATTTCTGTGTGTCATGATTGCAAGAAAAAAGGGGGAGAAGAAAAAGAATTAGGAAATGTCATAAAACAACAGAAAGCACATTTATAAGATGGTGACCATCAACATTTTATATACGTAAATATGAGGTCCTTGTTACTCTCTGAGCTTGGCTGCTTTCTTGTAGATCAGAGGTGGGGAACTATGGCTCTTTTATGACTTGTGGACTTCAACTCCCAGAATTCCTAAGCCAATATGGCTGGCTCAGGAATTCTGGGAGTTGAAATCCCCAAGTCATAAAAGGGCCATAGTTCCCCACTCCTGTTGTAGATATTTCATTACCCAACTAGGTAACATTATCACATCGTAACTATCAATCACCATCATCATGTACTGATGATGGTAGCTAGTTTGATAATGAACAGTCTACAAGAAAATTATTAAGTTCAGAGAACACCAATGACTCCACAGTTCAACTCTGAACTACAATAATCTCTTCCATAAATACATAAATGATACCTGTAAAAATATAGTAAAAAATGGAGCCTAATTATGGGTCACACAAAACATAAATTCAACTGAATTCAAGTGGAAGTTTTCTCTAGACTTGTTTTCAAATCCTGGGACTCCTGAAAGAGAATCGTTGATTTTTTTTTGTAAACCCTCTTTTCCATATTAACTGCATATCAAGCTGCATCCACATAGTTTATGCACACATAATACAAAAACAATCTTTAAGGAATCATGCATAATCACATCAAGGTTTGCTTGCCTTTTCATGAAGACATTAGTAGCATGACAGAGAATGCAAAGAGAGGGCAAAAAAATGAAAGCTGAGCAAATGAAATGATCTGATTTGGGAATTAGTAGAAATATAATGTCTCAGGAGAAACACCTTTTAAATCATATGTATGATAAAGTAGAATAATTCTTCCACCAACACTGATGGGGTAAGCCACTAGAACAGTGATAGTGAACCTTTTAGAGACCAAGTGCCCAAACTGCAACCCAAAACCCACTTATTTATTGCCGGGTGCCAGGTGGGCGTGCCCACTGGGTGGATGTGGCTGTGGTGGTCATGGTAAATTGAGTGGATGTGGCCAAGGTGGGCGTAATCACCTCAATGTTGCTCATGGGGAGGGACACCTGTGGGGGCTGGGCAGGTCGGGGGTGCCATTGTCACAGGGCAAGGTGAGGCAGGGGCCAGGGCAGTGGCTGCCTGACACCATCGGCCCCTGCACACAGAGGCCAGCGAGCGCATGGGTGCTGGGATGCATCCAGCCATGTGGGATCTCGGCAAGTTAGCGGGCAGCTGGTTGAAGTGACGGTTGCCATCTCCGGGGCATGGCATGCGTGCCCACAGAGAGGGCTCTAAGTGCCGCCTCTGGCACGCGTGCCATAGGTTCGCCACCACTGCACTAGAATATAAATTGAGAGCAAACCTTTCTCTTCATTAGCACTGAAGATGTTACATAGTAATGAAATGTCTTCAAGAAAACCACCAAGCTTGGAAAGCAGCAAGGACCCCTGCAATCATACATTCCAAAATCTCCAGCCATGGTTTTCAACCCTTTCTTCCTCATCGGTTAGCATTTTACAACCAATCAGGATGTTCTATTTTCAACAGACTGTTTTGAAATATGTTCCTGTAAGGCTTTTGACTATAATGATTTCTAACATTTCTGCCAACTTTGCAGTTTCCTACAAACCCGGTATTTCCACTCAAATGTGGAATAGCAAGCAGTCCACAATAAAAAATAAACACACTATCATTAGAACATAAAATTCTCCTGGTTAATTTTAGGACAAAAATATTCAGAAAATAATGAAAGGATGGTGAAAGGTCACTTAGCATTATTAATTAAACTTGTTCAAGATTTCTGCTTCATAAATTTAATTAATAATGCTAAGGGGTCTTTTCTGCTTAATTGAGTTGTTATGAACGCAGAAACTATGTTACTTGGAGGAAACTAAACCCCTACTATCTAGTCATTGCAACAGATTGCAGATGTGATCCCATTGACAGTGCAGATCATAAGGCTACTCCTTCCATTTTCCTATTTATGTTCCAGTAATCATGTTTTAATGCTATCTCATAGATTCAAGATGCCTGAATCCTATATTTGTCTAACCCTATCACATCACATGGAAAGGAGACCAAGATGGTTGTTTTTCCCATCAGCTGGAGCAAATAAGTAAGGGAAACAAAACCAGGAAAATCCACCCATCACTTTCCTAAATTCACCCCACAGTACAACTGTAAGGAAAGCACTTATGGGACAGTTTTGTCCTTAAGCAGAATCCTTAAGCAGCTTGTAGAATTTTGGGTTTCTCTGACTTTTGGGATAAGAAACCCAGGATAAAAGTCAACTTAGCCAATGGAAGTATTCTCCCTGATCCAATTTCCTGGACATCATATATTGTAGCATAGCATACTATGCTATGCCAATATCATCATAGATGAAATGTTCTCCTTGGTGACTACAATACTGAAATGTGGAGTATCCTATCTAGCATTGACAAGAAGCCTGTATCAATAGGATTGACTGAGGATCCATTGGCAGGACCCATTTTTTCATAACCATAATCATTTCAGAGTTCAATGGGTCAGTTTCCAATTGATCTTTTGTTCTGATAACAGCTATATCAATATACAGTTGCAGCTATTATTATACCAGTTGCATAATACACAGGAGATTGGTGCAGATGAATGTCTGAGGAACTAATTTTTAAGCATATATTTGAAGAAAACTCTCAATTACTCCAGATCATAGAAGACAGCACCCACTTTGGGATGCCTTGAAGCAAAACTTTCAAAGTACTGCCTCTGATATAACAGGATACAGAAAGTAAGGGGTCCTCCAACATGAAGACACGTTTGTCAGGCAGATTGGACAATCTCTTGAATGGAATGACGATTTATGAGGAAGGGTTCTTTTGTGTCAAGAAGAGGGATCTGCAGAGCAATACAGTTCATCTGAACCACACCTCCTTCTCTGAAAAGAACCTGACACAGACTGGAATCTGCTTCCTGTACTTGTTGACAAATGATCCTTAGGGTTATTTGCTCTTGAGCAATATTTAATCTGCAAGCTAAGGCCAACTGTAACACAGAATTGATTGAAAGATCTATTAGTGATAATTGATTGAGTCAAGACGATATAAAACTGGGCCTTTGGGTATTTTAATCACCAATGCTTATAGCTGATGGAATATATGTCTGATGATGAATATCTGAGAGGAATATTTTATCCCAAAGGTAAGTATTTGATCAATAACCTTATTATAGTAGGAAATTAACTTTGTTTTAAAAAATAAATGGTACTCAAATTGCAATAGGAAATCTATTTTATTAGTTTTAGTCAATAAGCAATTCCTACTCTTATTATAATAGGAAATTATTTTAAATAGTGAAATATTTCCCACAAGTTTCTTTACCCACAAAAGTCTGTCTCGTTCCTTTCAACTTTCTACAAATGCAAGCAAACAAGAGAAGGAATCTGTATTCCATTAATACAGTTGCCTAGTAAATCTTGCAAACATTTCTTCTTTCAGTGTAGCGAACCCCTGTCTTTTTCAATAAGCACGTTCAGTTTATCTTGCAGAATTATTTCTGGATGCAGAGTTCTCTCATCCAGGAAGACCATATAGTTTGTCTTCCAAAATAATCTCTGAATGCAACATAATGTCTCATTCAGCAAGCTCATCTAGTATATCTTGTAAAATTATCTGAGTGCGTTGTAGTACTGTCTTACCCAGAAGAAATATCTGGCAGATTTTGCAAAATAACACCTGAGAACACAGTTGTGTTACTGTATCAATACAAATGCTTAATAAATCCTGAAAAAGTATAGCACTGTCCCATTCTGTAGATTCACACAGTAAATCTTAGGGAAAAAATGTTTTCCAGTTAATTCTAAGTGTCACTTTAATCAGCTAGCATGCTTAAATAAATGTAGAGGGGAAAAAAAACACACTGAAGTGTACCTCAGTGTTGTCTCATTGTATTAGCATGTTTAGTAGATTTTGCAAAATTATTTTTGCCTACACCATACTTTGTCTCTTAACACGCCAATTAAATCTGCCAAATTTATTTTTGGCTGACTGAAATAAAGTTCCATTGCTCACATTTAAATATTTGGCTATTTCATAATTTCTTCTGCACACCAGAAGAAAAAAGAAAACAGATTAGTAATAGGGATTGCTTTTTTTAAAAAATAGATTCATATATATTTGTATATAGTTATACCTTGCAGCTGTCCTACCCAATAGGAAAGGGGAGGGGGGTTGCGTGGAGCAGTCAAAACAAAATAAATTGAATCATCTTTACATCAATTTTTACTTTTATGAATGGACATTGCTTCCTGGTTAATCCATCCGCTTATAAATTCATTGTGGGCTTTAATTTAACTTTTACTTTATTGACAGTATTAATGTTTTAACAGGCCTATAGTCTGGGAATATTATATAAATTGTCAAAAACAATATCATATCAATTCTGACCAAACAGCTTCTACCTTTAACAGAGTAATCATGTCAGCAGTTTAGATATGCTGATGAAAGTAATAATGGATGTGTCAACTTTAGAATGAGCATAGATGCAGCTATCTTTTTCCTTCTCATTCCTAGTTGCCACATAGCATGGAGGGAGGGGTTTGCCAGGTATTGCGCTAGACAAAACAGACTTTCTTATTCGGACTTTCTTTCATGGGAACCAAGACTGCAGGCTGGGCATTTCATGAAAAGCCCGCCAACATGCTGAGTGAGGAAACATAATTGCTTGCATAGCTTTGGGGGTGTGATTTTTACCAAGCTGGATCTAAGAGAAGCTTATTATTGGATCCAGGTTAGGGAGGGGCATGAATGGAAAACAGCCTTTAATTGCCCTTTGGGGAGTTTTCAATTTAAAGTGATGCCTTTTGGACTGCAAGGGGCCTCTGCTGTAATTATGCAATTGATAAATCAAATACTACATGATCATTTGTACAAAAGGGTTTTACTTTATCTTGATGACATTCTTATCTACAG